GTGGTGGGACACTCAGTCCCTGTCTCTCACACAGACATATACACACAGAGTCAGTAGTGGGACACTCAGTCCCTGTCTCTCACACACACATATACACAGAGTCAGTGGTGGTGGCTGGCGACGTTGTTTGTCCATTTCTGGCCAAAGTGAGTTGAGGTCCCCATTATGAATGTGCCTTGCTTTTCAACCCCATCCCATTCTTATTAATCATGAAGTATAATGGAGGAACAGTCAGTGTACTTAATGCGTTTAACTTCAGACCCTCTGGTTCTCTAATTGTAACAGACACTACAAGTCACTTTTTATAAAGAAATACTCTATTTTCTGCAAGTCCTTGGGGTAAGAATGGTGGAATGGGGTGTGGAGGTAGCAGTTACCAAGGAGCCAGTCATGTTGTCCTCTTGACAGTTACTGCAGCTGGCCTATTTTACTCTTTCTATTCTATTTAATGAGGGTCTAGGATCTTGTGGTGCACTGGTGTAGCATCCCTATCTCAGAGTCAGGAGATCCAAATTCAAATCCCACCTGCTCCAGAGATGCACAATAACATCACTGATCACATTGATTAGAAAATATCCATTTTATGAGTGTCTAAAGAAACCAGATCATTCTGCGATTAGTTCTGTTTGTTATAACCAGTGCCCCATGTAGTTCCAATGTGAATGCAGGATTGTACAAAGACTGGACCATGTCACTGGGCTTTACATAAGGTTCAGATGCACAGCTCAATGGATGAGTCTGTGACTAACAAGCAAACAAGAAAGGCTGCCCAGTTCCTGGAATATTTTAATGGAAACATCACCAGGCAGAATCCTTGCTGTGAAACTGGGCCTGTAATGTTTTGGGACAATCATAGAACATGGAACATAGAACAGTACAGCACAGTACAGGTCCTTTGGCCCTCGATGTTGTGCCGACTTATTATCATACTAAAATCAAACTACCCTGCATACCTTACATTATACTATCATCCATGTGACATCTCAGGTTAGACAATGCATTTTAGGTGTGAGGCCTTGTTTAGAATCTGTGATTCAACTCGGAGTCAGACTAGTTTTATTTCCAAAGTAGGAATTTATAAAATGCCTCCCAATCACGAACTTTGTTCGCAAACAATTCACCGCCTGTACCTCCCAAATGTACTTTACTTTCTCCACCATTAAATTACTTAAACTTCTGTTGCTGTTTGGGATCAAGTTTGCTCCCTTGTTGAAAACATAGGCTTTTAACGTTGGAGCCGCTGTTGTAAGATGTCTCTCTGTGTGACTGTGTTAAGGTCATCTCTTCAAATGGAAGGAAACCGCGAGAATTATAGTAATAAAAACACGATGAGGAAAGTGTGAGGCCAACATTTGGTGCTGACATCCAAAAGCAGTTGTGATGGTCTCCTTACTTAATGCCTGCAGACTAATTAATTCTAAATGGGCACAGACCCAACACGGCTGTAATCTGGAACTTGCTCAGTGATCTCAGAGAGACCACGAGATGGCTGATGTGGGGAATGTAACAGAAGGGCAGGCATGATGGATCAGATACTCTGTTTCATTCTGTTGTTCCTTTAAGGTCAAAAATCACACGACTCCAGGTTATTGTCCAACAGGTTTATTTGAAAACCCAAGCTTTCGGAGGCTCGCTCCTTCTTCAGGTGTTAGTGAGAGAGGATGCATCAGACACAGAATTTATAAGTAAAAGATCAAAGGGTCGTACATGCGTCAAACAAGCCTAAGATGGCTGTTAAATCTTTAATCGGTTAGAAAGGACATGCAGGTTTCAATTGATTAACATGCAAATCCCAGAACTTCTTTCAAGTCACTGCCCCGAGATAACTAAAGGTTTTATTAGTATATCAGTGACATCTCAGGTCAGACAATGCATTTTAGGTGTGAGGCCTTGTTTAAAATCTGTGATTCAACTTGGAGTCAGACTAGTTTTACTTCCAAAGTAGGAATTTATAAAATGCCTCCCAGTGGGGAGATACTTCAGCGGTCAAGGAAATTCGTCCTCGGATCTTCAGATAAACTTCCTCCAAAGCGGACTTCGGGATACACAACAACACAGTCACCAAGCACACGCTGATTGCCAAGTTCGGTCTCCATGAAGACAGCCTCAACTGGGATCTTGGGTTCGTGTCGCACTACAGGTGACCCCACCACACTGTATACTCTCACACACACACACACACACACACACATACACGCACACGCACACGCACACATACACACTCTCTGTCTCCCACACACACTCTCTGTCTCTCTCACACACACTCTCTCTCTCTCACACACACTCTCTCTCTCTCACACGCACACACTCTCTCTCTCACACATACTCTCTCTCTCTCACACGCACACACTCTCTCTCTTTCCCACACACACACTCTCTCTTTCCCACACACACAGTCTCTCTCTCACACACACACAGTCTCTCTCTCACACACACACAGTCTCTCTCTCACACACACACAGTCTCTCTCTCTCCCACACACACTCTCTCTCTCCCACACACACTCTCTCTCTCACACACACACTCTCTCTCTCCCACACACACTCTCTCTCTCTCCCACACACACACACACACAGTCTCTCTCACACACTATCTCTCTCAAACACACACTCTCTCTCTCACGCGCGCACGCGCACAACACACACACACACACACACTCTCTCTCTCTCTCTCACACACACACACCTTCTCTCTCTCTCCCACACATGCATTCTCTGTCTCTCTCTCTCCCACATCCACCCATACACACACACACACACACACAAACACACACACACAAATCTAGGGGGGGAATTCGCATTTGCAGATACATTCTATTTTGTTCAAAAAGCATATAATTTGTAGATAGTAAGTCAATGTGGCATTTTATAAATGTCTTTTTTGGAAATAAAACTAGTCTGACTCCAAGTTGAATCACAGATTCTAAACAAGGCCTCACACCAAAAATGCATTGTCTGGCCTGAGATGTCACCTCTGATATACTGATAAAACCTTTAGTTATCTCAGGGCAGTGACTTGAAAGAAATTCTGGGATTTGCATATTAATCAATTGAAACCTGCATGTCCTTTCTAACCGATTAAAGATTTAACGGCCATCTTAGGTTTGTTTGACACATTTGCATCAGCTGTATGACCCTTTGATCTTTTACTTATAAATTCTGTGTCTGATGCGTCCTCTCTCACTAACAGCTGAAAGTAGGAGCGAGCCTCTGAAAGCTTGTGTTTTTAAATAAACCCGTTGGACAATAACCTGGAATCGTGTGATTTTTGACCTTGTCCACCCCAGTCCAACACCGGCACCTCCACACATTGTTCCTTAGGGGCATTCCTCTGAGGTAGGATTGATCAGCTATTGTGGAGTTGGCAGAGAGAATCGCTGAACCTGACCTGGGGGCTCTTGGTGTTAACATTGGACACGCGGTGTGTAAAATCCTTCCCTTATCATCAGTCACAATCCTTCACCTTGATCGGCACAGACACAGCCACACAAACTATCAATCACATGCAATCACTGCTGCAGATCTATCCCTCCGGGAACTTCAGCACCAAGAAAATCTTATGAGAAAGAACTCCTAAAAACCTCCAGGTGCCTGTGCTGACAAGAAGCTCTTACAGACTTTCCTATCACCCAATGTTGCTGCATAGCCTTCCCTCACAGAACTGTACTAAGTCTACACCAACTACAGTCCATGTGGACAGATTGGCATTGTTGCTGCTCTTTCGCTAAAGGGAGGATTAGGATGAATTTTGAATAGATATTTTTTAATTGACTAGCTCAGAAATACTATTATACACCTTGAGAGCAGGTGGGATTTGAACCCAGGCCTGCTGGCTTAGAGGTTGGGGCACTACCATTGCACCAAATGGACCTGCATAATGTTTAATGAAGACAGGGTACATAATAAAGCTAGGGCAAGCGATGATGATGTACATACGGAGCTTGTGCACAGACAGTCAGTGTAGCCCAGTTATAATATACACTGTGTAGGCAATACCCTGGAATTTATTCTCTGCTCTTGGAAGGTAACACTGCTGCACAAAAAAACGTCAAGTCTTTCTCTTGCAAATGTGATGCAAGAGGGGCCAACAGGATTTCGAAAGCCAAATGTTTACCATCCACATAGAAAATTGCGTACAGTATATATTATAACATAGATAGCAGATATTGAGAAGTGAGTTTAAGGCTCTATTCAAACACAAGACCTCAAACAATATTGACAAGTCTGGATGAACTTCATTTGTCTTGATTCCCAAATGCCACACTCTCAGTTTAGAGCCTTGCACTCTGTACTTTCTCCGGTATCTGTTTCTCTAGTAATGAACACAGTGCTCATTTTGACTTTTAAGCAGTCTCCTTTATCTCCCCCATCCCATTCTCCCATTACCTCCAATTGTTATTGCAATCTCAGGAGTAGGGGTGACTTCAGAGAGAAAGGCAAAGAGGGAAGAAAGGAAGGAAAAAATAGAAGACTACAGATTAAAAAGATAACAAGCACATATAGTCATAGAAACGAAAGATGAAGGTTGAATCATTATCTTGCCAATAGCTCAATATTTATTCACCTCATTGTAATGGACCTTCACTGCATTATATGATGCAAACCCACAGTATTATATAACGTTTGCTTTGACTGCTATTTCCCATAACCAATTGTAAATGGTCAATCAATATATTTTCATTGATTGTTTCAGAGTCCTTCAGGGTACATGCGCAACACTGATTATCACCACCAACAGAAATAATAGACCAGGAATCCAGTACCAGCATCCCAAACTTCACAGCATGTACTACAAAAATAACCTGTGTATTTTACAGTAAGTCCTGGTGCTCATTGGGAAAGCTGGTGCAGATGTATGGGCTGAATGGCCTCCTTCTGTACCTTCTGTGAAATCTAATCATGACAGACAGAGATTTTATCACAACTACGATATGCTTTTACAGTTTGCTTATCCATAAAACCCTGATGAGATTGAAGGCAGTAACCCAATTTCAAGTCCTTTATGCTACTCACAAATTTTCTGAATTGCTTGATTGGATTCCAGCCAGGGTTTCTGTCATTCTACAGTTAAATCATCTGAATTGGGTTCACTCATAGTCTTTAATTTATTACCAGATATTGATTAAATTGTGCTACAATCATTGGTATTGGAGATTGCTGAACATTTCTAATTCCTCTATTAGTTCTGAGGAGGCTAACATGACTGAAAGTTGATATTCCTGCTCTAGATGGGTTTGAAAGTCTGTATCTACCCTGCTCCAAACTGGATGCAATCTCAACAACTTATTGGAGAAGGCTATAACACAGACATGCTGACCTCACTTTGGTAACAGTCAACTGACCTGGAAAGAGGTGAAATCTTTGTCTGTGGCCCTTACATGGCTGGGGTCAGAGGATGGTGTCGAATACAGAAAGGCATCACTCTATGCTTGTCCTGCCAAGACTGGAGGCCAATATCATGTGAGTTAGATGTGGCACACTGGTCCCCAGAAGGACACAAACAGCTCCACTGTAGTGTTTGTAAAGTCAGGAAAATGAGAACTCTAACAAATATTATAATAGACATGGAAGCACTCTAATGGCACAGAAGTAGTGCTCCTACCTCTAGATCAAGAAGCCACGTGCTTCCAGAGGTGCATCATAACATCACTGAACAGGTTGATTAGAAAATATCTATTCTCTGGCATCCGGTAATGGTAACGGCTCTTGTTGCATGGAGGTAGTATCCCTCCCTCTGAGTCAGAAGGTGTGAACTCAAATCCTACCTGTTCAATGGGTGTACCATAATATGTCTTAACAGGTTGGTTAGAAATGCCTATAACATACAGGGTGATACTGGCATAGGGGTAACAACACTAGATAAATAGTTCAAAGACCCAGCTGGTTATTTTTGACTGGTGCAGACTCGATGAGCCTTTTTCTCAGTTATAGATTCTACGGCGCTATGAAAGAAGCCAAACTGGAATTGCCAATCTTAATCCACATGCCTTGGCGCCATTTGAAATCTGTTTAATCCTGTTCAAACTGACACAAAGCTGTTTTTATTTACGTTAGTAAAACAGAACCCTTAATAAAAGCAGGATAGACATCTTTATTGGGATAAAAGGAAGGATGTAAGTCCATCAGATTTTGGGATCACAAAAGCTCTCTGAAAATTACTTGACGAATGGTCACATTCTGCATTAACTGTACAGTAAAAGGCAATATCGTCTTATCTGTTACACCAGTTTACTCCATACATCCACATCAATATACATGGAGCAACACACAGCCTGTACAGAACTAACTGAGAGTGAACCCTTTCCTCCCTCACCTGGACAGACGTACATGGTTACCCACTTGAATGACTGGTCCCTGTGCCCAGACAGGTTGTAGTCAGTCAGTTGAGTATAACCGGGTTTGAAGCCCGAGAAGTTTCAAAGGTTAGCTCCACCAGTGTTTCTTTTAAAATTAATGTTGCCTTCAGAGCTGGGTCACACTCACAAACCAGCAGGGCTGAAACGTAAATAGGAAAGGCAATCCTAGAGTTACAGAATGTGATCCTAAAACCTGCTGTTCTTATTAGAAAGTCTCAAAGCAATAACTTAGTAACTATGGGTTAGGAGGGACCATGCACATGCACAGAGCGTACAAAGCACGAAGTGCAAAAGGCCCATTTAAAATGTGGGACAGTTCAGAGCTGTGTATGTGTGTACTGTGGATGGGTTGTAACAGCACAAATGGAGCACAGTACCCCATTGTTTAGGCTGTCTGGTATTATCGGTACTTTTTCTGTTTCTGCCTAACTACAAACTAGTTTTGGATTAAAGATCTGACCAGCTTCTTGCACAAGACTCAATCTGCTATCGCTCAGGCAAAGTCTGCCCTTTTTTTTGCTCAGGAAGCGTACCCGTTCAGAATCCCTTGCGATTTTGGACAGTGGCCCGATTAATGTGAAGCATTCTGCACAGCTCCTCCAACCCCTCTTACCTTCGTTTTCAAAGTCAGGCGAATCCAATACAATCGCTTCTCCGAGTCCTTGGCGGGTTTGAGCGAAGACATAGAACCTGTACTTGGTGTTTGCATCAACCCTCTCCAACTTGTAACTGGTCACATCAGGCCCAAGCCTGGGAATGGTGGAATTGCGTCTTGACCGTGAACCAGTCACTTTGGGAGTAAGTAAAAGAAACTACATTAAATTCAAAGTCCACATCAAAGGACAACTATAAGAGCATCTCAAAGTGCTTTGCATCCAACGATGTACTTTTTGAAGTGTTGTCACTTTTTGTCATATAGGAAATGAAGCAGCCAATTTATGCACAGCATATGCCCATGGTCCTGTCGCCAATGTTACACTCATGCCCACTTCCACATCAATACTTGTTATTTGTTTAGCGGCTCTCCTCCCATTTGCTGCTTTGGCATTGCCACTTTCGACTCACTGGTCGCACTGCCATTACAGAATCAATACCATTACACAATCTGTCCCTACTGCCACTACCTATTAATGCTGACTGATGCTGTAGTGTTCCCACCCACCATTCTTTTGATGCTAGCTGTCTGCGTTCTAAATCCAGCCTGTACAATCGGCACTGTGAGAACAGCGGTGTCCCAGCCAAGGACAAAACTGCAGTGTTGCTAAATTCTTCCGCGGGGCCTTTATATCTCTCACCCTCACAGGGCCTTCTCTTTCAGCTTCTCCAACTCACCCTACTGTCCTGAGCTGAACATCAACATTAAAGACAGGTTTAGAGATTACTGTAATGGAGATGAAGGGAACTATCCCTCTGTCTTGTTTCCAAGGCAGTAAGTGGATCACCGCACTCTGACACCCACTGTGACAGCTAACACTCAATAGTGCATACCCTCTGTAATTAAATTGTGTGTGTTAAAGCTCTGTCCACAATATGATGACAACTTTATGACAATGAGGGCCAGAATATTCATTCATTCAGCTTATCATTGCTGGATCAGGCAGTCCTCATGATACATACGTGGGTGGTACATGATCACATAGCCGGTGATGATTCCGTTTGGATCACGAGGAGAACCCCACTGCAATGTAATGCTCTCCAAGTCTGGCTGTCGGATTCTGAGGTGACTCGGTTTTCCAGGAACTGTGAGAGAAAGAGGACAGGTAATAGCAATCAGGATTCATTTGTGACAAACATAAATATCGCTAAAAGAGGAACCTTTACTGCAAACATCCAGTGTTGTCAGCAAAAATCAGAAAAACCCCTTGTATTCTTATGCTAATATTCACAAGTCTCTATGACTGGACACTTAAGATCAGTGAAAGAAGACTGGCAGCCCTTTGCAGTTAATTCCTTCTGGGACATTTCAGATAGACATTCTGTCATTTTTATTGCTTTATAGTGGATTAAAGATTCAAAAGTTCCCTTTGAAAGATGCATGAGTTAAAAATACCAGAGTTGAACTACCTTGGGATAAACTTTTGTTCTCCCTATTGGAATGATAATTAGGGAAAGTAGCTTAAATCCACAGGATGGTGATCAATCAGGTTTGGTTTCTTTCCTGGGTAATATAACTGGCCCAAGCTTTGCTGGGACAATCATGGTGAGTGTAATTGTGTATGTCAATATTCATGCGTAACTAACCCAGACACCTGTGATCAGTTAAATGTGGCCCACAAATCACAACTCACTACGATTTGCCAGACAGGTTGTCTTTGCTCAGTTATGGACCTTGTGAAAATGGGAATTCAACCTCACTCTGTCCTCCTGCCCAAATGAGTGCCAGGAAATTTGCAGCGTTAAATAAAACTGGCTTTAGAAAGTTAGGACTGGTATTTAATCGTGTAAAGGGTACTTTCTAAAATAAAGTAATTTATATTTCAGGAAGTTCCCCAGCTCAAAAGGGAATGATTAAAATGTGAATGGTCATATCATCAGGTAATATATCATTCCTAGGTTTATTTCGCTCTCACTCTCTCTCTCACACAATTTCTCTCTTCCTATATCTAATTTGACTTGAATTCAGCTTGTTTCTTCTTCCCTGTTCTTTCTCATATCTTGAGATTCATGGATTAAGGAATTGACTGTTGGGCTCTGTCATTCAAAAGAGTTCCAGATGCTCCATGCTCACACCATGCTGTTACCAGATGGCAAAGCCAGTGTCGGCCAGTGTAACCAATCAATATGATCATGACTGTTCATCCAACTCAGCACTTTGTTCCTGCTTTCTCTACATACCCTTTTAGCCCTTTATCCCCAAGAAATACGTCAAACTCCTTCTTGAATACATTCAATGATTTGGCCTCAACCACTTTTCTCTGGCAGATAATTCCACAGGCTCACCATTCTCCAAGCGAAGAAATTTCTCCTTATCTCAATCCTAAATGGCCTACCCAGTATCCTCAGAGTGTGTGACCCCTGGTTCTGGACTCCCTCTCATCAGGAACATCCTTCCTTTGCTTAACCTATCTAGTTCTGCTACAATTTGATAGATTTTGATGAGAACTCCTATGAGAATGAAGGAAATAATGAACCATTGCTGTGTGATAACATTTGTTCTTGTAGTTCCCTATCTTTACGGTCTGTGTTGACAACATTGGTAGGAATAATTCTTGAGAGTTGCACCATTTAGAATTGAAATTTGGTTTATTTATTTTCACGTGCATTTTGTTACAAAACACAACGAAAGGTGTTTTATAGTGTCACTACTCTCCAGCGCCATTTTAAAACACAGAAAAAAAACCCAAAAATATAGAAAATAAAGGTAGAAGAATAAAGAAATAAAGAAATGGTGTTCAAATTTATAGTCCTTCATGTTGGGTGCTCCACTACGGCCGCCCTTAGTCCGCTCGAGTCTGCGCTGGGCCTACTTACTGACCAACACTAGTCTGCTCGAGTCCGCACTGGGCCTACTTACTGACCAACACTAGTCTGCTCGAGTCCACGCTGGGCCTACTTACTGACCGACACTAGTCTGCTCGAGTCCGCGCTGGGCCTACTTACTGACGACCACTAGTCTGCTCGAGTTCGCGCTGGGCCTACCTACTGACCGACACTAGTCTGCTCGAGTCCTCACTGGGCCTACTTACTGACCGACACTAGTCTGCTCGAGTCCGCACTGGGCCTACTTACTGACTGATACTAGTCTGCTTGAGTCTACACTGGGCCTACTTACTGACCAACACTAGGCTGCTCGAGTCCGCACTGGGCCTACTTACTGACCAACACTAGTCTGCTCGAGTCCACGCTGGGCCTACTTACTGACCGACACTAGTCTGCTCGAGTCTGCGCTGGGCCTACTTACTGACCGACATTAATCTGCTCGAGTCTGCGCTGGGCCTACTTACTGACCGACACTAGTCTGCACGAGTCTGCACTGGGCCTACCTACT